TCCTACGCGTTTTTTGCATCTTTTACGCCTTTCTTAGGGAGTCTGATATTTCCATTACATAAAACGTACCAGATTAAACAAAATGTCCAAGTAATTTCGTTTGAAAAAATTTTGATTCCTGTAATTCTCTACTATCTATATGGAAACTAGAAACGTCAAACCAACATTTATATTTTTACTATGAAGAGCTTATGCATGGCTATGCTCTTATTAAAATTCTTAGTATAAAATGTGTCCACTTTAGTGGCTTCCTGGCGACACATAATTTATTTTATAGGGAAATTCTTGTTTAATTCTTTTTAGTGGATAAATAACCTTTACAAAAATACAAAACACGTTCTTACACTTAGGCGGCACTGTGTGGCGGTTTATTTTGCTATGGTACACCAATGAATAAAGTTTGAACCGAGCGGATGGCAATCAACAAAAAATATCTGCAAGCTATGAACGCACCGGAGCATAACCCACACAAAATGAATGCCTAACAACATACCGTCGCCACACAAAACGAATAGCGAATGTGTAAAGTCGTTATCTTCAATAAATACACATTTCAAAAAATAAAATCTCTCACTAAAGTTGAGTGGCTCATGTCTCTAATCCTTATTTAATCCATACTCAAGTAAGTAGTACGGATTACTACAGTAAGTAGTAGTTAGGATTAGACCAGGATTAGAGACATGACCCATTTAACTGTGGTAAGTTTTTATTTGTTGAAATTTGAATTGTGTTGTTATTGCAAATCATGATTTTGCACATTCGCCATTCGATTTCTGAGGCGACGATTGCACACCTGTACATAAAATCTGACACAAAGCACTAAACCTTGGAGAGTTAATACACATAAGGTGTCCTTTTTATTTGGCCACCAGCAATTTTAGGATTACAACACGTGCATACAATCGTTTACTTGTAAACAGCGTTTCTCTTCAAAACGATAGAAAATCTGAAAAGCATTGCAAATAGCCCAGTAAATTTAGACTTGAAAAAAATATAAAAAATTTTAGTAGGGAACTTTTGATTCAGTTTGATCCATATGTAGGTCATGGATCCACATTCTTGCCTCTAAATTTCATATGAGAACATTCCGCCATCTTAAATACAAATTTGTTTAAAAAAACCCAAAATTTCATTGTAAACTATTAGCAAAAAGGGCGAAAAATTACGAATCTCTACTCAGGTTGGAAAATTTCAAAATCGTGGACCCAATACGGCAGTAAAAAACAGAAATAGTTTAGATTCGCTTAACCTAAGTGTGCCCAACCGGGTACCCACCGACAACTATTCTATCAAATAACTTTTTTGATTGGAACAATTTTTAAAA